AAACTACAGACATGTACTGTCTGTAGTTCAAGCGAGTTCACATTTAAATAAAACTATTTAAACAGTTTATCCCCCCGTGACTATACTACGCATCCGAAACATCGGGTCGTAGTTTAAAGAAATTAAATACAAGTTAACCAATATATTTCACGTTTTGAGGGGTTTTATTTAAAGGGAATTGATATATGTTTGCATCTGTGGCACATAAACTATTGATTATCTTGCCCTTACCGCGATCCTCGGAAATGTCTTTCACCAGTGTGCCACAAACACAATCATTTCAATAACATAGTTGAATAACAATAAAATTTAATAATGTCCAGCGCATCTTCAAGTACCAATGTTATATACGCTTGTCTGTCTTCCTCTATTATATTTTTTTTATAGCCAGCTCATTCGTTTTTTTTAACAATTATTAAATTTGTACAGCTTTCATTTATAACTCCACTACTATTTCTCGTTCCTGTTACAGTTTATTAGTGTGTACTCAGCTTTAATGAGTTAGTCGCGTGTTTCTAATGAATCTAGCTTTAATTTTAGGGCCAAGGCAAAATATTTAGGACATAAAAAGCTATTTAGATTACACGGTGCAGTTAGCTGCAGGTCAACTTAGATATTCAATAACTTTACTTAAATAGGCTGGTGTATATTTGATTTAAGCATAAAGAACTAAAAGCGGAGCTTGGTTAAATTAAAATCTGCATTTTTTAAATAAATAGATAAATCTCATTATGATATCAACAACTGGTTGCCTAGCAACCGCTGATGTGATGGGTCATAGAGGGGTTGTGAATAGGCTGTTTACTTAAATAAATATGACTTTAAATTACTATTACTTTAAATAGTTATGACTGAATACTACTATATATAAAATACTGTCTATAGTTTACGCGAAAAGTACACATTTAAATACACTTTAACGGTTTAAAACGCGATATAAAAGTTAAACTTATTTCAACATGATTTTTAACTTGGGCCCGACGCTTCGTCAAAAATCATTTTCAAATAAGTTTAACTAATATATCGCGTTTTAAACCGTTAAAGTGTTTTATTTAAATATTTACAACATATAAACTTAAACTTCAACGTATGCATTTTTGAGTATTTAATTATCCATATATATTCAGAATATCATGAGTATGATATATTGTTTTAAACTAGCATTACTTTAGGACCTACTAACTAGAACTAACTTTAGGATCGGATTCTAAACAAGTAAAGAGTGAATACACATACAAAATACGGACAAAAAGTAAATATCTCACAGAATAACGTGTCTATACAAAACTTTGGTCGTATTCCAGTTCCATATTCACACACGAGTATCTAGTGCAGGTAGTTATCTGCGACACTCGACACACTTTGTGTGTGCACGCCTTAATGAAACTCGATGGTTGCAAGCCTTTACAATTTTACGGGGCCTCATACTAGCGGTAGAGTGATTTTACAAGTCACTTTAACCATGAAAGGGGTTGCTGAGGTGATCTGTTGTCGACTAATTGAAATCGTATTAACAACTAGCCGTTCCCGCGACTTCATCGATATATTTTTTTTCAAACAACCTCTTTGGAATTTATATAGTAGTTACCCATTTTCATCATTTAAAGAAAAATCATTCTTTCATACATAGTTTTTGGTTTCTTGAACACGTGCACGCAACGGAAACTAGAAGATTTTCCCCGTTTTTACCACATTTCCCTCCGTTTCTTCGCTCTTTTTGATTGTAGCTAGATGCCATATACCCTACAGCCTTCCTCGATAAATGCTTTAACCAATACAAATAATTTTTCAACTCGACTCAGTTATAGTTTAGTTCAATGCTGGTCAAAAATAATTTACTCTAAAACTCTTCGTATTGTTATATTCAAATTTCAAATCTATCGTATATCCCTTAACACATACTGTGCCTAAAAGCTCGTTATCAAAGCACGTTATAAAAATACGCCTTCCACGTCAAAGTAGGCGATATAACAAACTAACGTCACTTAGTATTAGGGCTGCCAAATGTACTATAAAATATAGTATTGTACTATATTCCGGTTCTGTGTACTGTTAATGTAATGTACAGTAAGGACATATAATAATATTTCTGACACATTAATTATCAAATCATATATTTTTTTTAATAATGAGTGGTTTTTTACATTTAATTTTAGTTGTTAATTTATTTCGATAAAGTACTATTTATATACTGTCTGTAATTTACACTCGCGTAAACTAACTACTTATTTACGGCCTGGCGTTTCCCCGTGACGATGGCTACTGCAAAACATCCGAAACGTTAGTTAAAAATAATTCTCAAACGAGTTTAACTAAAATATATCGCTTTTTAAACCGTTAAAGTGTTTATTTAAAATAACTATTTATTTCTTTAAGTTTTTAAACACTTATGAACTAGCTTATAAACAAAGTCGGCCTTAACAGCGACCTGTAAGAAAAGTAATATATAACAAAAAGAGTATTACAATATAGTGCTATATTGTAGGCCTATTTATACCAATACTATATTTCTCTAAAAAATACTGGCAACCCTGCTTAAAACGCCAGCACCCGCTGAGGGTCACGGCGGATGGTTTTGCGTGTACGCTAATATTTTAAATGCTAAGTACGATACGCTTACTGGTTTTTGTAATAGAGATAATTGTTTATTTATATACGCACCAAATTTACTATCGCTTCTATTAGCCTATTCTTATTTTCTATCGGGGACACCTGTGGTAGGACGGGTGATCAGTCCACGTTATCGGCCGACCATTTCGACCATTTCCGAACGTCCTCCTTGCAGAGGATTTGGGTCAAACCTTCCGGTTTGCTTGCAGAATCTTATTATTTTTGTTCATCTGTAGTTCTTTGATGTCATCTTCTGTAACTTCGTTCGAACCCATATGCTCATGCCAAATTCTCAAAATTTATCTATCTGAGCGACTCATCGAATATCTATTTTTTTAAGAACCATATTTAAGTTTTTAAAAGCTCATGCTTATGCGCATGATTTTGTCACAGGAAGCAAGCGAAATGCACCAACCTTTGTTCCGGTCGTCACGCGCGTGTGCACTTTGATACTGCTAAAATGGGGCAAATTTTTAGAAAGGCCTTTCACAATTCTAGTTAAAAGCTCTCCAAGAGTTTTTAAGAAGATGTACAAACAGTAAAACTATCATACTTATAGTAAACCGATTATCTATATAGGTTTTCAAGACAAACCATAAAGGGTTCGATCTCCACCTGGTCCAAACTTTACTAATCAATTAAAAAAAATTCTGAAACATGAAATCTTCGTCTGGAAATCTGATTATTAAATGGCTGGTTGGAATATCGAAATTCCGTCCGGGTAACGAACCACACTCCACAGATGAGAAAGCCGTCAAGTCGTTACGCGGGTTTACTCTGTGCATTTCCGAATATTCTAAGACAAAATAGGTCGGGAGTGCCTCTTGCTTCCATGCTTGTCTGTTCTGCTCTATCATAAAAAAATCTACAATAATGTTTACACACCACAAGAGAGTGATGTGGTATTCAACTCTTTGGCAATTGTTAAACAATATCTCATAAGCAACACTGCGTTGATGTTTAAATTGAATTCAAATGAGAATATTAAACAAGCGTATATACGGATTGAAATAACTTTCTTTCTAAAAGTCGGTTATAAAGGTACTAGAATATTCTTGAAAAATGTTTGCTTATCTTTTATAAAATCTAATAATCGGGCGTTGAGTGACTTGCTAGTTAACATTTCCTTAATACAAAATATTTAGTGACGTCACGTCCCACCGGCTAAAACCCTACGGAAGGAGGAAATTGGAAGATATTATCTTTTGGTTGTACTTTGTTGTAAATTGTGGTTTCATTTCCTAAAGAACTGCTTGAAAGCGTATATTAAGTTAAGTGGATTATAATAGCAAGAAGTACATTCAACATTCAATACATAGAAGTGAATTAATCTGTTCCACGTTTTAAACCGTTGAAAGTGTTTAAAATAAAAAAGTAGGACTGTAATTTTGACGGACCGTTTTTTATTGTGTAAAAATATTGTCTATTATTTTATATTTCGCGTTTCAAACCGTTAACAGTTTCTCTTTGTATCTAAATTGGGTTACTGCTCGTAAACGGGACAGAATATGGTCGTTATACTAATTTTAGGCAAAGTCTTCAGACATTTGATATCTTTTTAACATCCTTTAAAAAGATTCAACATTGAAAGACTAATTATTGACAAGAGAGCCGTTGAAAAATATATAGCTTAATTAGACTACAGATATGAAAGAAAGAAAAAACAAAAGCTGTTATGAAGAAAACATCTATAATGTATGTTTATCATTTAATAAATAACTTACGTTACTAGTAGCGTAAATTAAATGCAATATTTGTTCATTTTTCTTTAAAGTATTGTCCAAACTTAGTCCTGGCTTCGAATCCCGGGAAATAAATTTCCGATCGGGACAGGCATTAAAAATGGGCTGTAAATTATATTTTGAACAGAGATTGTAATATATTCAACCTATGCCTAAAATGGGGGAAACGGAATTCCACACACTCAGTCTGTTTGTCAGTTTTTCACGAAAAAACGGAGCGAGGAATTTACGTGATTTATTAAATGGAAATAGTTGAAAGAATGGAAGCAATTAGCATTTTTTTTATCTTTCTAATTCCCTTATTTCCTGAAATAGGCGTTGGAAGTTTGTATGGAGAATTATGTATTTTAAGAAAGAAACCTACAAATTGGAATGAAGATTGCTTGGAAAAAAAGTGCTTCTTTTTTTTACAATCCACAATCAATCATCAAGCCTGTCTTCTGGGTTCTAAACTATGTTACTCGGAACTGGCGCAGGCGAAGCCCCGGGCAAAAACTAGTAATAAATATTATGTTTTTTAATTATATTCTAATAGCAGTCATTATCTAATTAAAGATTGGAGATTGTCCCTTTTACGTGACCTGTTTTATGCCATATTTTGTTCTAATCAATACGACAAAGCCTTAAAATTTCAAACACTTGTTGCAGATGCACGGGAGTGAATCACTGTAACTTCAAATTGCCTGAAGATTATCCACCTTCAGTGACCTGGGTGCCAGGCGTTGTATATATAAAATATGCTTGTTTTGATGGTAAGTAGATTTTCACTAAAGTGTTGGTACAAATCGGGACTTAATTATGTATTGATTGATAAATTAATTGTATAAGGCTTTCACGGCCATCGTCCAGCGGCAAAACGCCGAGAACCTCTTCTCGGTCACATCGGCCGAACAGCCCGAAAAACAATGATATGCTAAAGTATATATAATCTTATTATTTTGACCTTATTTATGATCTATTTAGTAGGCAGTAGGTATATAGGTTTTGGCAAAGTCATAAGCGAGCAAAACAAAATAATGTAACATAAATATTTCTGACTAATAAGAACTACTGGTTCAAATTAAAAACATTTTTTTGTTTTGGCTAGAGCATTTATCGAGGATGTCTGTATATAGGCTATAAAATCGCGCTGCAAGTAACAGAAGCGAAGAAACACCAGGAAATGTACGCGTACGCTGCGAAAACGATTTAAAATATCTAAACAATATGTTGGAAAGGAGGATTTCTCTTGAAAAAAAAATCCCCGACATATAAATATATAAATAATTCTTTTAAGATTAACTTGCAAGAACGGCGGGACACGGTCTGGTTTGCAAAAACAAACTTTGATGCTCAAAATAACTATTCTACGCAGACGAAGTCGCTGACACAGCTAGTTACAGATAAAAACGCCGCTCTCAGACGTAGCTTACAATATATAAAACTATAATTTTTCGTTATCAATATAATAATTAAATTAGTCTCGATACATTTCGCCTAAATTTCCAATAGCATATAACCCCGCCAACGCTCAACTGAGCCGCTGAGGCGTGAAATCGACCAATTTTGGACAGATGCATGATATTGGTGACGTCACGCCTATCAAAACCGCGTGCCATGTGTCAGTTATCCTTATTGAATCTATTGTTCGATAGAAAAACAATTATACAACGCCCCTATCTATATTGCGTGGAATAGTTTTATTAAGTTTGTTTTCGTTGCTATGATAAACGGCAGATAACCATGGGGCTCACTCCATGAAAGGTAAAATACCCCGGCTATAACATTTACCTTATTACATAAAACTATATAAATTATATTTAACTATTTTACTTAAAAAAATACTTTATTTACGAACCAAACTTCAAGCTTCTTTCATTTGTAAATAGTAATCTGTTATCTCGATATTCTTACCATCGATTGAACATCAGAATTTGTCCGTAATTATATTATATATATTATGATAGAGACACGTTGAGCCCGGTACAAAACATTGCTACCATTAGACCTCACAAATCTGTCTGATACGTTTAAGTTGAAATAGAATTATGCAAAATGTTATAACGCGTGTAAAATAAATTTGAAATGGCGTCGTAGAAGGCTCATATTATACTCATACATTTTGTAGGTTATATTTAACGTATAATAAAAAACCATATAATATTTATGAAAGTAATGCGTCAAGCATATAACAATGGTAACTTTCCTTGTCATACAATATATCGATCGTCAATCTACATACAAGAATTACATGTAGTTACAATAACTAGCTCTCTATTATCCATATATAGAGTATAGCAGTCCCTGGAGATATCCTGAATTGGCCAAAAATGCCCACGTGTCTGGTGATTCTTCGTTAGGGGCCGATTTGATCCACGTGAGAGTTGGAGGGTTATCGAGAAAGTCACTTCATTTACAGAAATTGTTCATTAATTCTACCACATTGTCACCAGCAAGGGAAGTTTTTTCAGAGTTAAAAAGACTGTAATGGTTATGGATACGAAAAACTTTCTTTACAGACAGAATCGTTAACATAAAAGGTAGAAATGAATGGATAACCAAGAGGTTCGTTAGACATGTCTTTCGTGCTTTCAATTTTGGTTTTCATTTATTTTTTTACAATCGAAAATTTAATTAGTGGTGGAAAGATAAAGATTTTGCTCCAGATTAAGAACTAACGTCCACAAAATGGAAAAACCGTGAAGTGTATTGCGTTATGGTTACAATCTATTGATTGAAAAATACCTAAAGCCAAAATAGATCGACTGCATTGCTTAGATGTGATTTTAGGACAAATCAAAAGTCATTTCTTCATGTAGGAGCTTAGTACACTTATGAACGTCAAAACAAGTAAAAATTTAAAACTCTAAATTTACAGTTACTGTTAGTACCAGTTCCCAAGTTAGGGCGTAGAACGTACGAGAAGAACTGGCAAGAAACTCGCCGCCACTACTTATTAATTTCCAAGTTTTTATTACATTTCCATATGCACTCATTGGACATTTCTTCACTTGATAGAATCGGGTAATTCTCAAACAAGTTTAACTAAAATATATCGTGTTTTAAAGTATTACCGACTCGGTAGCTCAATTGGTAGAGCAACAGCACGGAACGCTGACGATGCCGGTTCAAGTCCTGCCCGAGTCGAAAATTTTTTCAATTATTTTCGATTTTTAAATTATATAGTGCCTTCATGTGCAACAACATGTAAAAAATAAAAATAAAGTTTATAAAAGTATTTAACAGCTTAAGTTTTAAAATATGAAGAGGTTTGCATAAAGGAATTTGGATGCCCAAAATAACAATTCTACGCGGACTCAGCTAGTAATCTCTAACTCAACTAATTAACCTCAACAAACAAATTCATAAATTGTACAATTAACATTAAATGAATAACATTTTAAACACAACATTTAGTACAATTCTGTTTATATCAACAGAGTTGAACTCTGTTCACATAAATTAACAATTCCCAGCTTCTTATTACAATGCAGTAGAGTTCATTTTGTTATAGCTTAACATCGGCAATAACAGTAAAAATAAAACTGCATATCTCTTTGCTAACCTCACGTTCGTTGCAACCAGCTTTAGTTGAACTTTAAAATTCAATGGGCCGTGATTTTCGGGCCGATTTTTGTATAGCGTAGGACTTGACGGAGGTCAACATAAATGGTTGTAATATCTGAATGGGTTTCCCTACTTTACCCCAAAATGTGTATTAGGGTGTTGAAGTGCCTTTGTAATCGACACGTGCGAATTTAGAGAATTTATGGTCTTTTTCCGTTTATAAAAAAAACCTAAATGGGCCGGATACAAAATAGTGTTAGTTTTATTTATCGAGTTTGGAGGATTCGAACCCAGGACTTCTTACACTAACGTTATATGTTTTTACAAAGCATAAAGTGTGAGATAGTTTTATACAAAGTATTAACATAAAACAAACTTATAAGTAATAAGCTGTACATTGAAATTACACGAATATTCACTATTATTAGTATAAAGACCAATGACGATTCATACCGGAAATAATTTATATTTTAATAAACATTTTATCAACTATAGTTCTAAATAGTTCCGAGCTTAGATAAATTAAACAAATTGACATTTCACTTGTAAATTTGAAACCCTGATAAATTTTAAACAAAGTTGTACACAATTATAACAATCTATAAGTAAGTAGCTGGCGGTGTAAACCGATAAAGTTTTTTTTTTTTGTACAAAAGGTCGATTCATCGGATTTACTACTTTTCGCCATGTAAACTATTTAGACAGAACATTTTAGTGCCTTAAAACGCGATAAATTTCCAAACAGTTAACTAAAATATATCGCGTTTAAACCTTAATATTGTTTGTATTTAAGGTAGTAATGGCGTAAAAATAATATTTAAGTTCGGAGGATTAAGTTGTTTTGTAAGTTTAATAAATGGCTTTTTCAATTTCTTTCCTTTATATACAATTTGAAATATTACAACATGTGCGTATAATTACTGATCACATACAGCTGTATCAAACAAAGTCACATAATATTTTATCTGTAATGAAATCTCGGTACAATTCCCGCGCATTTAGATAAATCGGCTAATATGAGTCCATTGGGGTTTGGATGCACTAGGAAATGTTCGATACGACTGCTATTAAGGAGATTAAAGTTATGTGTTAGCTACTTATATGTGGTTCTACATATAAAATGGGTCTAGCATATAGAGCTTAGATATACACACATTAAATTAAAAGGGTTTTTAAGAAAACAGTTTTAACGTTTTAAAATGCAAAATATATTACTTAACTCATTTTTCCCGACGTTTCTGATGTGGTCGTAGTCACGGGGGAACTGAAGATGGAACTTAATGACAAAGTCGGATCTACAACGCTAGCGCCATCTGTTACGTCATAGTATAGAAGTAGTATTTGGAGAAACTTAAGAAGAAATAAAGTAATATATTTCGCATTTAAAACTGTTAAAAGTGTTTTCTTTAAATTTGTTTTACTCGCGTAAACATCCGACCATACTTAATTCAAGTTATTATTAACCAATTATATAGAAATTTGTTTTGTTTTGTAATCTTGTTTTTTTTGGCCTGTACAGTACAGGTCTGATACCTAAATTAGGTTAGCTTATAGAAAGTATGGTATGTAAACCAAATAATATAGGAAAAATGTCGTCATGGATAATATTGGCAATGTACCGACCATGGATCTAAATTGGCCACAAATTTTTGATCAAGCACCTGCATACTTTTTCAATAGGTAGGCAACTGTGCATTCCCTGTCCGAAAATTGTATGCTTCCCCGGTTTCGTACCTGCGATTTTGTGCCTTAAGCAAAATTGTACGTTTCCAACGCAGCTACGACACGAAAAGCTCAGGTAGCAACGTTAAAAAAATTGTAAGCTTTGCGAAATTGATTTGTTCTCGTATTTTTCGATTACCCATAACCATAACGATGTCACTAAGTGGACATTTCTTTGATGAGGCTGTTAACCCGGAATGGAACAATATTAAGAGGGTAGGTCAATGTTATGCTAATGTCAAGTTGCGGAGTGAAAAAAATAATATTTTTGTGTAGCAGTCTTTATTTTCTGAACTGAAACTGAGGTTAAAGATATATTTAGATTGTTAGAGCTATTTCTTCTGTTTTGCTCCGGAGACACACGGTTTAATTCTTTTTTTTAAAATTCAAATTCTTAACTTTTTTTATTTAAAACAGTATGTCTATAGCTTACACGAGTAGTACACATTAAAATAAAACACTTTAACGGTTTTAAACGCGATATATTAGTTAAACTTATTTGAAAATGATTTTTAACTTCGGCCCAACGTTTCGGATGTTTTACAGCAGCCGTGACCACGGCACGGCGGCATCATTTTCAAATAAGTTTAACTAATATATCGCGTTTTAAACCGTTAAAGTGTTTTTATTGAAATGCCCTGGTCTTAGCTATAATTAATTAGCATTGTATTTGCATTCACGATCTTATGTTTGTCTTTGACTTTTTGATTTATAATTTCGAGAATATAAATAATATATAAATATTCGGAAATCTACAGACTAGAACCGAAATGCTGGATTTAAAATCATTTGATATCAAAGTCCAACATATTCGAGAAAAAATATAAACTGCTTTGTTGGACCCACTGGGGATCAAATCTGCGACCCGTTGCTAAGGTGACAATAACAAGCCCGCAACATCGCGCTACAGCTACTTGGATGTATAGCACCTTTTGCAAGGTTATGCAATATTAAAGCTTTCAGCTACGCTTAACCACAACTCTTCGACCTCGGAATGTTTTCGACCTCGGTGTAGCTAAAATTATTCATACGTTGTTTACGGGACCCTTTTAGAATTTTCTGTTAAGAAAAGTGCTGTCAAATAATGTACAAATATAATGAAAGATGGATATAAACAAAAAAAATAAAGATCATTCTACAAGAAAAGAGATGTCATTCCTACATCATTCGGGAACAACACCATATACGATTAAAGCCTGGCTTGCATAATGTACTCACTATAATTTTACTATAATACACTAATATTATAAAACTGCTGAGTTTGTTTGTTTGAACTCACTTATCTCAAGAACTACTGGTTCCAATTGAAAAAATATTTTTGTGTTGGTTAAAGCATTTATCGAGGAGGGTTTTAGGCAGAAAAACATCACGCTGCGACCAATAGGAGCGATAAAACACTGGGAAATGTGGTAAAATGGTCTCTGAGACTTCAAGATCCCCAAAAATATGTATGATGTGTCCGCGACAGTATATGTCGTTTTTTTATGATTAACTTGCATGAGCGACCGACGTTGTGGGTAACGCCTAAAATTCATAAAGATGAGGAGGTTACAAAACAAATTTTGTTGCCCAAAATAACTATTTTACGTGGACGAAGTCGCTGGCACAGCTAGTATATATTATAAATGGCGTGCATAATGTATTGACTTAACATATATATACATACTAATTCGTATAAGTAAATAAAAATGCGTGTCCTATATTCCCATTCATTTTAACTCATTCACTCGGAAGTCAAGAGTGCATTCGTTTGAATATCAATACAAATTGACACATTTGTTTATTTAATGTTGTTTAACCTAAATACTGTCTATAGTTTACGCGATGTTGTAGCACATTTAAATGAAACACTGTGTAACGGTTTAAAACGCGATCTAGTTTAGTTAAACATGTTTGAAAATTTTAATAACTTCATCCCGACGTGTTTGCAGCAGCCTGGAAATCTGGATACGTAAACTTTCTTATCCGAATCACTGTCGGTACAGCTGAAATTCTCGTTAAGGGTTGAATCTGTCGATTTCATACATATCCAAAGCTAAGAGTAGATTGACAGCGCATCTTGTTGAGATGTTAGATGGCTGGAGTATCACCAATCATAAAGTGAATACTATGCTGGTCTATCGTCTTCTATGATAAAGAAGGGAAAAAGATAACCTAGGTACAACCGTAACATTAAGTATGTACCTACACTACTAAAGCTATTTTAATAAATGACGTTGGATGTTGTTCCATAATTCTTAGTGACACATTGAATATCCTAATGTAGGTTTCTTAAGTTGTTCGTGAATTGTATAAAATAAATCAAACACCAAAAACAAACACGGCTGGTAGAGCAACAGCACGGAACGCTGACGATGCCGGTTCAAGTCCTGCCCGAGTCGAACATTTTTTCAATTTATTTTCGATTTTTAAATAATATAGTGCCTTCATTTGCAATAACATGTAAAAGATAGTAAAGTTTTCAAACATTATTTGTAGATTAAATGTTATACCTACATCAAATGAAGCACTTGACAGCTTACGATTAATATATTTTTATTTTAAACCGTTATAAGTGTTAAAGTTTAATATTTAAGTATCTTTATGGGGGTTAATTTTCCTTTGTACAGGCCTAAATATTTTATTGGAATAATCCTATTATAGTAAAGGTGAAAATAAACGTTCGTTGACCTTTTATTGTATGTATCGATGGAAATCGTATCAGTTACAATATGAAGGTTATCGGTTGCGTGAAAATGAAGGCTATAGTGTTCTGTAATCACCTTGAACCGGGGAAACCATACAGGGGTAAAAGCGGATTGAGCATTCGTTATTAGGAATTATTAAATTCGCTGTATTTTTATCGATAACCAGAATATTTTTAAATACATATGAGGCTGCTAGAGGCAGAATGGTCTAATACCAAAAAAAAAAATTTTCAATCAGAAGGAAAAGAAAAATGCGCAAGTGACTTTGAACTATTATTTGTGTAAGAATTATGTAAACAATTTTCGGTCACTGCTCTTGTAGATTAACATTTTTAGACTAGGAAAGTATAAGTAACTTAAGTCATAAAATTGCAATTAGGCTATTCTGCCTCTAGCAGGCTCGTATTATCAATATCACTATACTCAAAATATTACTATCACTATCGTTAAGTAGGAATATTACAGTTGCTGTGTTGCGCAGAAATTTCGTATGTTATGTAGTTATTTAATCTACAATATATTAGTAAATGTTGTTCGCCGTTTTATGTACATGTATGAGATCCAAATGTCGATCCCAAGACGTTTAAAAAAATAATCTCTATAGTCAGTATATTGCAACACGTGCACGGTGACGTAATACATTGATGCACACATACATGCCTTAGAACCAACAATTCTACTACTATTATAGTGCTTATTATCAGTCCTACAAAATACTGAAACAGTTATTTGGCTAATAAAACAATTTCGTTTTTTTTAAATATACAGTTGTCGAGGAGGAAAGACAAGTGGTTCACTTGTCTTACCCCAGCCATATAACATCTAAGCTAGATTCGCTGTCAACATATTGTAGATTTGTGTATACGGAAATCGGAGTTTAAACTTCACGGCTTTTTCATCTGTGGACCGTTATTCGAGACTCGGCCGGAAGATCAATATTCTTAACACTCATTTAATATCCAGATTTACAGACGAAGTCCAACATTTAAATAAAACACTTTAACAGTTTAAAACGCGATATACTAGTTAAACTTATTTAGCCGTGGTCACGGGGTGACACGGCTGCTGCAAAGCATCCGAAACGTCGGGCCGAAGTTAAAAATCATTTCCGAATAAGTTTAACTAATATATCCTTTTAAACCGTTAAAGTGTTTTATTTAAATGTGTACTACGCGCGTAAACTAAAGACAGAAGTCCAACATGTTTTAGAAAAATTAGAAAATAAAAGAACCCACGACCCGTTGCTTATTAGCCATACATTGGTAAAAAAAAATAGTTAAAAGTAGTTATATTATTTTGTAGATACCCTGTCGGTTCACTACTGCAACCGTGAAGTGCAAGTGTCAGAATGGGGTCCAGATAGCGAGGGGTATATCCGGACACCCGGATATCCGCACTTCTACATAGGTGACGAGTGTCGGTGGAAGTTACGAGGCCATCCAGAGCAGAAAATACGGATAACGTTTCTCGATGTTAGTTTGCGGAGTGAGTATTGAAGTTATGCCCAAAAGGAATAAACAATTTCAATAAAATCTATAAAGCCAAAGTTTTTTTGTTTGTATGAAAGCGCAATTCTCAGGACTTAACGGTTCTAATAAAAACAATATTTTTGTGTTTGTTAGAGGATTTATCGAGAAGGGTTTTTATTAATATCGTTCGATTTGAATGATCCCAGAAAATGTCGGCATTGGTAGAATATGGAAAAACATTTATCTTTTAGGGTTAACGTTGCGTGAGCATGCGAAAACGGTTAACGATGAGAAGTCATAAGTGACAGCAATAATTTACCTCTTTAAAGATCCCAAGAAGTCTTGCATAGCAAATTATTTCTCCCAAGATAACTTAACTTGAACGCGAATGTAATGTCGCTCATGACAGTTCTCGTGTACTTAACTAACTATATAGTTTTTAATACTTTTCTATAGGTATCGGTCCATTTGAGAACAAGTGCACAGACTATGTAGCTGTTGAAGATGGAAATGGCGATTCCTTGCTTAAAAGCTGTGATCAAGTCGACATGCCGTTACGTTTGGTCTCTATGTCAAATACCGTTGAAGTATTAGTTGAAGCTAGATCTAAGGGCGCCTTCCCAAAGAGGGGCGTGTTGTTACATTATAAAAGTAAGTACATAGGATTAAAATAGGTTGTTTTTTTTGTAATAAGTGTATTTTTTTTGTAATAAAAGCTGTTGATAACAGCGCCATCTGAGTAAATTTTTTGAAACTCATACAATTTTATTTTTTATAAACGCCATCTGTAAGAGTTTTATAAAACAAAAAATGTTTTCAACAGGTTTAGGCTGTGTTACGTTATCAGCGCCATCTAGCGGCTACCTTGTATACAGAAATGAAGAAGTAGCCCACTACATGTGCGATGTAAATTACGTTTTTAGAGACACGCGACAGAGGGCGCGGATATTATGGTGCTATGATGATAATAGATGGAATGATACCGTGACAGATTGTATAGGTAAGTGATTTTTTTTTAATTTTAATACTTAAAATTAACAAAATGTAATTATGCTTAAACAGTTATGTCACTTGAGTTGTACTTTCCAAATTCTTAGTTTAAATCTTATAATTATGCATAAAACTGAGATAAAACTAATCACACATTACATAATTAGGTGGGTTAATTTAATTATGTTTTGATAATATATCAATAAGTAAATTTCAATAAAATTTTAAGGTTCTTCTTTCACCTGCTGAATTAGTAATAACAAATAATAAGCAGCCCGGAATAGAAATTTTAGAAAAACGAACAAGTGCCAGAAAGTTTTGTCAGACAAACCGTATTTATTTTTAACCTAAAAAGTTCTCATGACTTGTTCCCATCCCCTTCATTCGGTTTCGTATTCAAGGAAGGAAAGACATGCGCAAAGTCCTGCCTCCTCTCTCTGTCTCTCATACAATAAATCACAGGAAGGAGCGAAACAGCAATATGCTTTTAGTTTCAATGTGATTATTTACAAATAAACACATGTTCTGTGATTTTAGACTCTCGTACCTAAAGATAAGAATTAATCTTCTCTGTGTCAAAATCACTATTTTCGTAGGGAAGCGTAAGATTTTTCAGAGTAAACGGTAAAACGCGGTATTCGTTCGGTACCGCGTGACGGTGGTGGTCGTGTTTCGTACTGTCAGTTGTCAAGGCAACACGTGGTAACTAAGAGTGAGTTTAGAAATCATTTTAAGTGTTTTATTATTATAATTTACGTATAAATTATCTATTTATGTGTTAAAACATATATTAATTACGTGTTAATTTGGTTACCTATCACACTGTATAGTTTAGCTTTGATTCCGTGCCGTCAAATCTATTCAAAGATCTTTCTAGTTCACGTAAACTAATCATGCAATTATAAGTTCTATTAACAATTTTTATCTTTCGCAGCTTTTAACTATTACACTATAATTTATATAATTTAAATAAAAATAAATAATAGTATTAAACTAATTATAATATATATAAAGTTTAAGCAATAACAACTTCCTCTTAAAATACGCGTTAAAAATTTGAAACGTGCTACCAATAAATGTTCATTATATTTATTATCAATAATGATAAGGATAACAATGCCCTTTATTATTATATTATGCATGAAATGTTTATCAAAATTATGCACAATTAATTGAATTTACAATTTAATATTGTCGAGCATTCGTCATGAATTTGTATAAATATTCTTTTTAAATAATTATTATTCGTTTGAAAATGTTTTTCACATTGAGAGAGACAAAAAACTTTAGTCATATTTCGATCATTGGTCACGGCTGCTGCAAAGCGTCGGGTTGTTGCTTAAAATTAGTTAACTAATATATTTCGTGTTTAAAACCGCGTCCATTGATTATTTTGTTACGCGCGGGACTCGAAGCTAAGAATCTCAACTTCCGATGCTCTAGATCTATCAATTAGTAGAACAAACATATATAATATTAATCTTTGAACTGACCTTTGATAAGAGGACAAGTATGGTTATGTTAGACGAATTATTGAATATTATATAGTCCAATTAATTCGTTTTAATACATCAATGTCCCTATTTAACAAGTTAGTATTGTAAATTTAATAAACACGTAGTACCAATAACATTAATATATTGTTTAAAAAAAATTTAGGGATAAAAATTAACCTTGAACTGTAACGTTGGGGTTTGAAAGTGACGTTATTCGAACGATTTTAGGCTAGGTATTTGACTGAAACTTGGTCCAATGGTGGATGGCTAATAACATGGCGTGGGTGCGATCACCAACGGATCTAACATGTTTCTAATCAATTTATATTTTTTTATTGAAACATGTTTGGAATTCTGGAAATATCGAAATTCCAAAGTTATGAACCGCCACAGATAAAAAATTCTATTCCCATCAAGTAAATCGCATGCCTGTCGGTCCTCCTCTATCATAAAAAATATTAAAACGTTTTGTTAAATTTGCCTCATCGCCGTATTTCTTAAATGAAATACAAGATCGTATACTGTCTGTAGTTTACGCGAGTAGTGCATATTTAAATAAAACAAGCACTAACGGTTTAAAACGCGATATAAGCGCGCGTAGTTAAAATAATTTCCAAATGAGTTTAACTAATATAAATCGCGTTTTAAACCGTTAAGGGTGTTTTATTTTATTTTATACAAGATTGTGTCAAATTGCGACAAATACAAATCATTCTGCACTCGATGTAAATCAATTTTGGCTTTCAAGTCTATTTATGAGGCTTATAAAAATCATTTATTGACTTAATTGTAAAAATCACTCACGAAATCTATAGTTGAAACTAGGGTTGGCATCCCTAAATTAATGTAGGTATAACCCTCAAAAGCCCCACAAGTTATAATAACCCGTAATATCGTGTTCAGCCGCCCTCGTCGACTGTTTTACACAACCCTTTACCTTCATTCAACCTGAATATTGGGCCGACTGCGCTTATTACATCTATACCAGTGTTATAAAGTTGAAGAATGTTGTTGGTTTGAGCGCTCGGAAACGAGTCGCTTAAAAATATTGCACTATTTACGCCAATAATTTCTATTTTGTATGGGCGCTGTCTAACAGACGAACGGTAGGGTTTTGTTAAAAATCAGTGTTGTAGCATAACCGTGCTGCAACTTATGCTGACGTAAGACCCTTTTGGCATCATTTTTATTCAAAAATTTAAATTTAATCTTGTCGTAGTATTATTTACTTTTATTATATTTTTATTGTCATCGCATTTATTTTTACTACGTCTAATTATTGTACAAAATGAATGCTAAATAAAGAGATTTATTATTATTATTATTAACTAGTAGTATTGAAATAGTAACCTCTTCCCTAATATAAAGAATAAACTTTAAATAAATTTCACCCCCCCACACCCTTGTCTTTGAGATAAAATTTCACAATAAGTCTTGCACAATGTGTACACACAAAAAAGTTTTGTCTGTACTCTACGCGAGTAGTATATTTGTAAGTAAAACTGTTTTAACGTCTCGCGTGACCACGGATACTGCATAGTATCCAATACGTGGGACTGTGGTTAAATTAAATTAAGAATAAGTTAACTAATATATTTCAAAGCGATTAAAGTGTTTTATTTGTTTTATTAATTTTAAACTACTATAATTGAACTGAATTCGTGTTCATTTAAATTTAAACTTTTTAAATACAAATTGATAAACGATATTTAAAGCCTAAAATGATTATCCGCCGAAATTATTTTATCGTTGTTAGTTTTGTAGAGATTGATTTGATTGTTTTAGTTTAAATCAATTCGCTTTAGGACTTTGTAATTTGTTTTCGTTAGTTGGGTTGATGGAAACAACAAAATTAAATAACTATGTTAAACAGTGATTTCGTGTGAATAAATTGCTTTTACGAAATAACATTACGTATTTTTTATCTATACTAATATATAAAGCTGAGTTTGTTTGTTTGTTCGAACGCGCTAGTCTCAGGAACTACTGGTTTGAACTGAAAAATTATTTTTGCGTCGGTTAGACCGTTATTTGAGGGAGGCTGTGATTAATTGAAGCGAAGGTACAGCGGGAAATGTCGAAAAAATGCGGAAACTTTAATCATTGCGTGCACTGCGAAAACGGTTCAAGACACCCAAAAAATATGTATAAAAGAATGGTTCCTCTTTTAATTTACAAACTTTCTCATTATTGAAAATTATAGCGGTTACGCAGGACGTCGTTCGCGCGTTCAAATTGAACCAGTAGTTCCTCAGATTAGCCCGTTCAAACAAACAAACTGTTCAGCTTCATATAATAGTATATATTAACCAGATAATACAAGTCGTACGCACATAACATCCTCAAAGCATTTTTACCCGTGCATTTCACATTTGAATTCAAACGTAAACGTCGCGGAAACTTTATTGTTAGGAGTCGGGAAACTCGCGAATTTCAAGTCGTAACTCATTGTAGAAGGCGTGGATTAATTAAAAGACGTTTCATTGTTGCCGTACGTGTAAAAGGGTTCTGATGTTACACTTCACTTTTATTTGAGTATTCTCTGCTTTATGATTACCGCTTTAATGGAGAATTTTTAATAACTATACTAAAATTATAAAGCTGAAGACTTTGTTTGATAGAAGGCGCTAAGCTCAACGAACTACTGGTTCGAAAATTTGTGCTGGATAGACCATTAATTGAAGAAGGATATATAAAATCACACTGCAATATGAGCGAATGGAGCAAAATATATTCATGTTTGAGGGCTTTCATTGCGTTTGCTGCGAAAACGGTTTAAGAACCCAAAACATATGTGCAATTGAATGATTTCTCTATAAATGGTCTAGAAAAAGGTTCCCGACAGTATATGTCTATTTAAAACAAAAACTTTGAACAGTTTCCAACAGTCTCTCCGTGACCACGGCTGTTGCCAAGCATCCAAAACGTCTGGCCGAGGTTATAATAATTTTCAAATAAGTTTAACTAATAAAAAAATTTAACTGTTTAAATCGCGTTTTAAACAGTTAAAATATTTTATTTACATGTGGACTAAGCTCGTATACGTCTATGTAATTTGATACATGGCGATACAACTAGTGAATTATATTACAGGTAGCTATTACATTTTAATGGGCTGACTGGTTATATACGCTTACGGTTTCAGCCTCAGATTCAGGATTTCCGAATATCCATGGCAAAGTACCACAACGTATTTTGTCAAGATGTTGTATGGCTGGGGTATTATACCTTCCATCAGATGAACCCCCTTGCTTGAATGTTCTCTCTTTCTCTTAAATGGTACCAATCTTTTACTACTAAAAAAATATTAGACAATACTATTATACCATGGATTCTACTAGCTCCTCCACTCAATTATAAAAACAAAGAGTCGACACAGCTGCCATGGTTCAATAATTAAACCTATTCCTATCATAGCCTAAAGTTTCGTGGTTCGAATCCAGGGGAAACGATATTTTTGGTCCGGTACGGCAGAGAAGTTAAATCAAAACTTGTAGGTAAATAAAACGATAAAGGTGCCCCCATGTGCATAAAATAAACGAAATACACTCTTTCAAAAGGATTCTCAGTCAGATATAGATTTATTTGGTGACGACAAGATTGGCTTCGATTTTTACAGTAAAACGATAATGGACCAAACTTTGTTATTACTTTTGAAGGGTTTATTGTAATTAGTCTGTGCAGTACTGAAAAATGTTCAGCTGAACACATACACTGTTTCTCTATATTAACATAAAATTCATCTCGCTATTCTCTCTTGGTTACTTCGTAGATACTATCTTTTTCTACTTTGAAGTAATTCACGTCGCCTGAAAAAAATCCAATTAATCCCACAAACTTTAAGCGTCAAGTGGACAGAGTGTTAAGAAACCATAATTGAGGCCTAAGTCGGTTAATATAATAAGAGTCCGCGGAACGGTAATTTGGATTAATTAGAGAATTTTCCCGGGCTGTCGTTTTCATTGTCGGAACTCTTTTCCGTCAATCGAGTTTTCCCGTTCGTAATGAGCAATTTGTGTCGGCGGCAATATTAATGGCTTGTTTATACCCAGTCGCCTTGAATGAAGGTTGCGTCTATGGTAGTTTTAGTAACTATTTCCTTTTGATTTGCAAATATGCAAAGCCAGCTATAGTAAGCACGCAATAAGTAGAAAGGTTTTTTATTTTTAAAAAAAAAAAAATTTTTACAAAAAAACCATAAATTGTAATTAATTAT